ACAATACCGCCGAATCAAAATAAGACATTGGTGGTAAGAAGTATGACGATCACCGCCCACAACTCTTTGTGTTCTACTTGTGCATATCATCTACGCATAGACCTGGTTCGTAGACCGTAAGCGGAAGTGTTTGACAACGCGGTTGATGTAGTCGAACTTCTTCTAGCTCTGACCGATCAAGTACCAAACGTACGGCACCTCCGAGTTCTGCACACGTTCAGCTCTATGACGTCCCTCGCCTTCTTGATCCAGCAATATGTCGAGGAAGTAGATGAGTTCCATCAGCACGACGGTGTGCTGACGGTGAAGATGAAGTGATCCGCGCAGGGCTTCACCTAAGCACCGCGAGAATATGACCGGGGGTGTAAACTGTGGAGGGGGGCGCCGCACACGGCTAACAATTGATGTTGTGTGTTCTAGGCCCCACACACACACATATATATATATATATATATATATATATATATATATATATATGTTGGAGGGGAGGAGAGGCAGCCAGGGGGTTCCCCAAGTAGGCCGAATCCTACTTGGGGTCTTCCCAATCGGCCTCCCCCCTTCCATAATTGCCGGAGAAGAAAAGGGAAGGGGGGCCTAACCCCCTCTTCTCCTTCTCCTATTCGGCCTCCTTCCATAGGGGGGCGCGCCACCCCTTGTGGGTTGGTGTGCTCCCCTCTCATGGCCTATATGGCCCATATCTTCTCCCCGGGTGTTCCGATAACCCCTCTGGTACTCCGATAGGTACCCAGAACACTTCCGGTGTCCGAATACTATCGTCCTATATATCAAACTTTACCTCTCGACCATTTCGGACTCCTCGTTATGTACATGATCTCATCCGGGACTCCGAACAACATTCGGTCACCAAATCACATAACTCATATAATACAATATTGTCATCGAACGTTAAGCGTGCGGACCCTACGGGTTCGAGAACTATGTAGACATGACCAAGACACCTCTCTGGTCAATAACCAATAGCGGAACCTGGATGCTCATATTGGCTCCCACATATTCTATGAAAATCTTTATCGGTCGAACCGTTATGACAACATACGTTATTCCCTTTGTCATTTGTATGTTACTTGCCCGATATTCGATCATCGGTATCTTCATACCTAGTTCAATCTCGTTACCGGCAAGTCTCTTTACTTGTTCTGTAATACATCATCCTGTAACTAACTCATTAGTCACTTTACTTGCAAGGCTTCTTATGATATGTATTACCGAGAGGGCCCAGAGATACCTCCCCGATACTCGGAGTGACAAATCCTAATATTGATCTATGCCAACCCAACAAACACCTTCGGAGATACCTGTAGAGCATCTTTATAATCACCTAGTTACGTTGTGACATTTGATAGCACACAAGGCATTCCTCCGGTATACGGGAGTTGCATAATCTCATAGTCGAAGGAATATGTATTTGACATGAAGAAAGCAATAGCAATAAAACTGAACGATCACAATGCTAAGCTAACGAATGGGTCTTGCCCATCACATCATTCTCCTAATGATGTGATCCCGTTTATCAAATGACAACACATGTCTATGGTTAGGAAACTTAACGATCTTTGATCGACGAGCTAGTCTAGTAGAGGCTTACTAGGGACACGGTATTTTGTCTATGTATCCACACATGTATCAAGTTTCCTTTTAATACAATTCTAGTATGAATAATAAACATTTACCATGAAATAAGGAAATATAAAATAACAACTTTATTATTACCTCTAGGGCATATTTCCTTCATGCGGCCCCTCCCAGGTGTCCCTGGGTGAAACCCTAGCGCCAGCAGTGGGTGTGTGGCAGTGTGGCCACCAACGCGTGTGGATCTGACATTCATGTGTGTGAATCAAATGGGGCGGCGTGCCCCGATTGGTGCTGCTCAACTGTGATGTGGCACTATGTATCATACGTTGGCTTGGCCTCGTTGGGAGGTTCTGCATGGTGTGGCCCTCTTCTCCCTCAATGTTGCCGGCGAGCAGCGCCGAGACGGTGCAAAAAGGCGGCGACAGGTGTTAGGCTGTCGTGGCGCACACATCAACCACCGGCTAGGCGGCAATGCGGTAATGGTCGGAAGCGACCAGGGCCGGCCCTGTGTTTCAGGAGGCCCTAGGCGAACTCGACTGACATGGCCCCTATGTCCTAAGATCATTTATATATGTATGTGTGTGCGTGATACATAAACATCTTTAGTCTGAGATTTGATGACTATAATAATTGTTGGATAGCCATATTATGACAAAAATACTTAAAATATACTAAAATGAAACTAACATGACATGATACATCAAAGAAGGACCAAATTCGAAGAACCCTTCAGTGTTCGAATTTTTGGATCACTTTCTTTCTTTTTTCTCCTATTTTCAGTAACCGACAAATGCTTTTTTAGGCAACATGGCATGGTAATGTCAGAAATTTATACATCGGATGATTGGAACCCTAGACAAGTACGCAGAATGACAAAAAGATTAGGGTGGTTACGTACTGTGAAAGATTTTATTAGAAAATTATACACTGAAATTACTCCATGTACTAAAGAATAAAACAAAAAATTACTAAAAATTGGGGTTTGGGGGGTGGATCAGGAACGTGGTGCGCTCACGGCTCACAAGCGTATAGCGTACTACCTCCTTGCTGGATATGCCAGATGGCCGGACTGATGTGCGGCGCGCGCAGCCGCGACAACCAGCGGCGGCCAAGGCACCGAGCGACAGGCCGGCGATCGAGAAGAGGACGAACAAGGAAGACGAACCGACGAGCAACGAAGGCACGAGCTAATTAGCGAAACTACGACTTGATGAGATCTTGTCTGATTTGTTTCACACAAGCAAAAGGAGCGGTTGTGGCGCCGTGCCTTCGTCTCGCGCAATGACTGACGCTTCGCTAATCGCTACTAGCTCTATCTGATGGGCCTTATTTATTCTTATATACTTCATCATGGGCCCCCCTCCGGCCTGGGCCCTGGGCCGTCGCCCCCCGGCCATACCCGCAGGGCCGGCCCTGGAAGCGACGACCCATACTACTTGCCTAACTCTTCACTTTAAGGGACCATAGAACAGAAAGCGCCTTCTAAACAAGTCCGTAGAAGGGAATGTATCTGTGGATATCAAGGATATCATAGAGAATCTGCATTTCTATTACTTTTTATCCCCATGCATGCATTCCCAAGTTGGAGCCTCCATCCGAATTGGGGGACGGGTTTTCGGAGTTAGCTGACCCAAGCAAGATCACACCCCTTTCTCCTGCCAATTGTAGCACGTGTCTTCTAGGTCATAAGGGGCATGATGGCTTGTCCGTGTCCTCACATTCCTCCATCTTAACACCGGCGGTTCATTCAGGGTTCAAGACTCATAGTGAGAACTAAACGCGAGAGTTGTGTGGCAGGCAAGAACACCATTGTTCGCTTTCTTTTCCACCAAGCACGGAGCTAGGATACAAATATATATTACACATATGATTGATTTAAACATGAGTTTAAGGGCCTGTTTGGTTCCAATAAGTCAGGTGACTTAAAACCAGTGACTTATAAGTCACGTCTGTTTGGTTGTCACCTGACCACACCTTCCCACACCAATCCACATCATGCATGTGGTGGGACCCACACAAAAGGAGGTGACTTATAAGTTTTAAGTTGGGGTGGAGCAACTTATGACTTATAAGTTGGGGTGACTTATAAGTTGGGTCTGTTTGGCAAAATAAGTCACTTTTTTCACTTTTCGACTTATAAGTTGGTGACTTGTTTGGAACCAAACAGGCCCTAAACTCATTTTAAGCATGCTTCAGTGAAGAATTTCGTAAAAGGAAACATGAAAGAAAAAAATTCAGATTGGTTTAGATCCATCTTAGCATGACGATTGCTCATCACACCCGAGAGCGTTTAAATGGCTCCCGAGCTCATCTATTCCCGCGCATAAACATTTATCAAAAGAAATACTATAATTTTTTAAAAAAATCACTTTTTTGCACATAAGATGTGTTAGTGCGTGAGGTTCGTGCCAAATTTCAGCTCATTTGGACATTTGAGCTGCTCTCGGCAAAAAAACAAAATTGGGGTATGTGAAAAAGTTTATTGTCCATGCACTGATTTTTTTTTATTTGTTGAGAGTTGCTCGGATGTCCAAATGGAGCGGATCTCACGCACTAAAATATCTTCCATGCAAAAAAAAGATTTTTTGAATTTTATAGTATACTGGTCATATGAGCCGAAATGGATATTTAATTTTCATCCGTACAAGGAACCGGGACGAACTCTTGAGTCAGGTGAGATGGACAGAGACTCTTCATCATGGTAGGGAAGCTATGGCTCGTGGTACCTACCCACCAACCACGCGCCGGACGTGATGGCACGAGCACGGAGAAGAGAACCGCAGCACCGGCAGCTCCACACCGAACCGGGCGACAGCGGGCCCAACGCGGCCGGCCGGTTTCTCATCGACGGCGACGTCTAGGCAAAGAGACAAAGGGTGCCCTCCTCGTCAGGGTGCTCCGCTCCGGCCGCCGCGTACAAGTACTCCTGATTGATTGATTTATTCGATTAGAATGCCTGTCGACCTGAGCGGTGCAGCTGGCCATCTGGCTGACTGGAATTTTACATGTGTCGGACCGTGTTCATCATTATAAAAGTGCATACAGTGCTAGCATGCAGTCTGCAATAGTGGAAAGAATTCCCAGCCTTCTACTACTATATGCCTCCGTGTCGGCGGCATGAGGTCCGACGATCCGCCGGTCGACCAAGGCTGGCACCAGAGCAAAGCAACAGAGAGCCTCGTGCTGCTGCAAATGCTCTGTCTTACTAGTCACAACAACGAGCTCCTAGAGCATGGACATGAGGCTCTCGAGGCTCTCGTACCGGAGGTGCTTCTTCTTCAGCCGCCTGCGCCGCGTGTTGCCGGCCCTGCCAAAACCACGGTGAATTCGGTCCGTCAGATAGGCGGGCGACAGTTGTTTATCGCCATGTCTTTGTCGAAAACCATCAAGAGTGCTATCGCGGGCGCTCACCAGTACTGGTTGTGGAACACCACGTTGTCCGTGGGCACGTGCTTCCCGTCGTCGTTCCGGTTCCACTGGTACACGGCGTGCGTCCGGTTCACCAGCTGCAGGGTCGAGTGCCCGAAGCTCGCCTCCCTGAATGCCGAGTAGTCCGGCTGCGGGTCATTGAACCTGCAAACATTCAATGAGAAAGCATCGTAAGAGTGCGGCAGGCAGAGCCTAATACAAGGTGTGCTTAGCTTTAGAGCGATGTGTTCGTTCTTCTTACCTCCAGGCGAGTCCTTCCTGGTTGCCTCCATCGCCAACCGTGATGTAAACGGGAGCGGATTTGTCTGGCACCGGGTATCGGTTCCCAGATGTTACGTTGTAGTTGATATTAGATATCCGGTACTGCAAGCAGTGCATATACAAGTATCATGAGAAATCAAAGCTCGGATCTCTTTGAGTAGAACACATAGAATTGTGTAATTTCATCTGATTCGACCATGAGAGATCAAATGTAAAAAAAATCAGATCAAATTCAGCAATTTATTCATAGAGAAGGAGGCTGCGCTCAAGGATAGACTGAAGAGTTTACCGATCTCTCATAGGCATGGACATGGCCTGCAAACACCAAGTCCACCTTGTACTTGACAAACCACTTCTCGAAAGCAGCCCTCATACTCTCGCCCTCCATATAATGCGCGTTATTGCTGTTGTACATGGGAGCATGCATGAGAACAATAAGCCAAGGTGTCTTCTCCCTGTCCACACGCTTGAGTTCACCCCTCAGCCACATCCATTGGGGAGTGTATTTTACTATAAATACCACATACAAGTTTACAAAACATACTTGTGTTAGAATAGTATATCCGACAAAACCATCAATGGTATACACTTTGAAAGGAACATTCAGTTGTCGAATAAAGTACGCTTCTAAAATATAATATATAATGGTCAGAACATGCTGTCAGTGTAGAACTTGTGCGTCTAACCATTAAGCATAGCATCTCATATCAAAGTTGTCGAACCGAATCAATTAGGATACACGATTGACATTTAAAACAGAGTTTTACAAAGGTGGTAATAGCGTGACCCCAATCCCTGTACTACGATTCTCGAACCACGACTCTGGTAACTGTAATACAAGTTTCAAAGAACGTCTTGCTTCCTACTAGAACTGTATCCCTGAAGAGAATAAAATGGTCAATAGCAGTTTCAGACTGAAAGTAGAGACGCTTTTTAGATTTCTACCTTCTATCGCTGTGTATTGAGCTACAGTAAAAGTTTCAAATGTATCAGCAGGACAAAAGGCGAATGACTCTAAACTTCACTGGTATTTACATTACCAGTTGTATCATTAAGTACACGACAACCTGTCAAAAAAAAAAACATGGCAAGACCATATTATTGACTTTTACCCCTGCTTTGGACAAAGGCCAAGCACTTGGAAATCCCATCGCAGCCAAAATCACATCCTCGTTCTTTATCAGAAACTTCATGCAGAAACGAAACAGAGCAAGTAGGAAGGAACTTACCGAAAGGAGAATAGCTGGAGAGCACGATAATATGAGCAGATGCACGCCTGACTGCATACCACATTGGGGAGCTGCTCTTCGATGCCAAATATGGTGTTGAATATCTATGCAGATATGGCTTAAATGTAGAAGTTTCTCCCTGAAATATGAATAGGGCCAGAGTTATGAAGTGACAAGTGTGACTCGATCCTTTCAGAGACGTCAATAAAGCAAAAGCTCAAGACTTATTAAGCTCAGCTAATTAAAAGTTCAAAGGGAAAGACAATGTTGTTCTGAACAAAAGGCTAAGGTTCTAAGCATATAGCCATGATAGTGTGGACCCACACGACCATAATTATGCAGCAAGTCAACTACAACCAACATTGTGTGCCAGCTGAATCTAAACATATATTCCCAAAAGGTAATTCCATAAATATTGGGAATATGCAATATGGTTCATGAAATAAACAGTGTTCCTGTTCCCGATTCAATAGAGGTATATTGCAAAGAAAAAAAATATAGATGCATGAAATATGGCCAACGGCTTTGTCAATCAGTTTTGCCTTGTAGATACATTTTGAGCTTTTACTAGCAAAATTTTGCCAACATGAGGAGATAACATCATAACATACCAGATCAGGCCTGTATTCTATTTCATGATTTCCAGAATTCCATATCCATGGCTGATATGCAGTGCTACGTTCAACAAATCGACCCCAAGAATCCCAACGAATACCATCGTTATGTTGATATCTATCAGCATATGATAAATCCCCAACAAATAGAACACTTTCTCCTCCGCTTTTCAAATAATGTTGAAGAGTTGATAGAGAATTAAATGTTTGCCCCAGATCACCTAGCAAAATAGAGCCAGAAAAAATTAGATTAAACTGCCTGAGTCGCTGACCACTAGGTCTATATCTCACCTATTGGTTGGCATTCCTAATAATCATTTGTCTAGTGTGGCTTTTTTCTTTTATCCTGACAGTGATACAACAGTTCTCTAGAATTTGGACATTAAGAGATAAGGAGAGCACAGACTATGGTTACTTGAATTAAAACGTTAGTAGTGCATATGTGTGAAGTGAAAAGCATGAATTTGGAGCTAATAAGCTGAATTCCCTGCTCAAGCACCCTAGAACCCTAGCTACAGAAAATGCTGTAGAGGTCCAAAGTAATGCAAGACAGCTATGAGACAAAAAGTTAAAGAACAGAAGACAAACCTATGATGCCAAACGTGTATGATGCATCTGTGTCAATTGCTGGAGGTGTTTGAAACCAAAATTCTCGAGCTGAATCTCCAGTACCTATCTTGTAATAATATTTAGTGTTGTACTGCAAACCAAAAACGTAATTAGAATTTTGGATCAGACAATTATTACAAGATTGTTTGCCCAAACAAAAGTAGTACAAGATTAGGTACAAACAGAACTCTTCTTCATGAACTGGGCTGCTACTCCTACAGTCCACAGGTACAAGAAGATGTGATGAATAAATTTCTATGGACATCATGTCCAAATAGAAGAACCCAATACTGTTGAAATTTGGTGATTTTCATTCTTTGGCCACTCCAGTTTCATGTAATGGTTCAGTAAAGTACATCATGAAACCATGGCGAGTTTATTTTGAATGGTGGCCATTTTGGATATGTGCACTCTTGAACAAGATAAATGGTCTACAGCGGAGAAAACTGTTGCAACTTGAGCTCCCATAATTGGCAGAACATATATCATAACCGTAAGGGAAATAAATTTCATAAGAATATATAGGAAACCAAAAAGGACAATTAAATACCTCAAGGCCATCAACAAGGCAATGGTGTATGTATCCAGATTTATAGTCGTAAAATGTATAATTTGTCATTGTCCCTTCGGCTTTCTGATCATAGCGGTTCTCTTCTTTACTGTAAAACACTTGACTCGGCGCAGGTTCCGACGGAGTGACCCATGATACTATGACAGCCTTTCCATCATAGTCACCTTGCGTGATATGAACCTGACAGCAGAACAAGCGGTGAGCACATCACCAGACCACCAGTGATGATGAACTGGTATATCTATTAGCGTAGCTCCGTACCTGCTGTGGAGCATTGTAGCCCTTGGGAGTCGCAAACCACTCGCTGTCCAGAGGCATATCGGTGGACGGGAACTCCGAGCGCACGTAGGAGCTCGTGCGGCGAGAGGAAACGCCATTAGCCAGGCACAACAGAACATGTAACGATAGCGCCGCAAAGCCCAGCCCCCTCATCTGTTCAGAGCAACGCGGATGCCGCCCTCGGCCTGGAAACTCAGCTGCAAACAGAGCATGTATGAGGTTTGTGTGATCTGACCAATGACTGGCCGACGGAGAGCTGAGATGGATAAAAGTATTAACAAACGGCCGCGATGTCATGCAAGATCTCCTCAATTTGACATCACAGCTGCGCTTGTGGATCTAGAGCAAAGCGATGGGCAGATCGATATAAACCGAAACCAACACTAGCTCCTCACTTGTCAAACCACTACTAACAATCACTTGTCTCCACTAATATAAATTACTAGCATAATAATGAGCTCACTTCACTTCACTTGTCTGCCTATATACCGAGTCAAAGTCAACAGCCTGCGAGATGCTAAAACCAAGATGTCGCGTGTCCCCCGCGGCGCCATCGATCAATGCTAATTCCGCGGATCGGCTGCTGATTGCCAGCGCTGATCTGGAAATCGAATCGAGTGGGCCTGTCCTACTAATCAGCCATCGAGCGCCAGCGCGCCGCGCGGGGACACGGAACTTACGGAGAGGGGGAGCCCGGAGCCCCGCCACGCGTGATCCGGGCAACCCGCCCCGCCCTGGCGAATGAGACCGAGCAGAGACGGGCGGC